AAAGTGGTATGAAACGAGTGGAAGGGATGCTCAGAAACAAATGCCAATATGTAAAAATAATAAAACTCAAGAATGTAAATTAATATTCGATCTTAGAAATCTGCAAGATCAATACACAAAAGAATATCAAAATCTCGAGGAAAGCTGGAGCCCTAGATTCCTTCAAAATTTAATTAGTACTAAACAACACCTTAGAAGTAAAAGGGCCCTAGACTTCCTAGGAGACGGACTAGCATGGTGTTGTGGAGTGGCCACCCAACACAAGCTAGATTCTTTACTGATGAATGAAAACCAGTTACAAAATAATATAAACAGATTAGGCAGTAGATTATCTAAAACAATAAAAGATATAACAAAAAATTCTGAAGAATTCAAAAAGTATGAAAAGGGCATTTCTGACGCATTCCACAAAACTCAGTTTCATATCCGCAATTTAGAGAATCAATTTTTAAACTATAGAAACACAATAAAATCCTTAGATAATCAATTTCAAAACACTATAATTGAACTTTTAGAAATCCAATACAACTTCCAAAAAGATTTAATATTACAAACTAGAGCACTCAATAAACAAGCAATTTTATCATCCTGTAGGCAACATCAAATACCCATTACCATTGTCAAACCTAACATTCTTCAACATGATTTATCTTCTCTTATCTCAGAAATACAAAAATTTGACCAAGCCCTCGCTATTCCCTTAGATGACTTATCCCGATATTACCAATTACCTATAAGTGACTGCAGCTTTACAAACGAAAACATTTTTATAAACATTAGAATACCACTAACTCATACTAACGATGACTGGAATATCTACGAATTGATTACAGCTCCCTTTGCATGGCATAACCAGACTTGTAAAATCCAACATGACACAACATTTTTGGCAGTTTCGAAAGACAAATCAAAAGACAGTAACAAAATAAGACAAATCTCAGGTTTAGGGTTACAAGACTGTAAACCATATAGGGACAAATTATGCTTTTTGCCAAGATTCAACGCAGACGCCCTACAGGGGGCGGCCTGTGCAAAGAAACTATTTAATGGTGCCACAGTACAAGAAATTAGCGTTCATTGTCCAATGAGTTGCTACAAATCAACAACAACAATAATTTCAGAAATTGATGAAGATATTTACATAATTACACACCCAAAACATTCAACAAAACTAGACTGCCTAAACAGACAAACAGTAACATTGTCAACGGAACTATACTCAATTCCTGGTGCAGTACGAGTAAAAATACCTTGCAACTGCAAATTAAAAATTGAAAATGAAGATATAATACCATACAGATTTCCATGTTTCATAAATCAGAGTAATCCATACGAAGTTACTCACATAATCCCTGCCGTCTTTTCAAATCTCAAGTCATTTATCCTTAATCCCAATATAAAATCAAGCCCTATAACTTTCATGAATCATTTAGAATGCTTAAACCCAAACTGGACACTAGAAATTCCTCATCTTAATCTAACGTCTACCAAAGAAAGTGTCCAGGACATACTGTCTAATATAATCGACAATGACTTACCTACGTCTCATTATTATAGCTTGCATGGAGACAGCATTTTTCTCATATGGAACACCATATTATCAGCCGGTTTCCTCTTCCTTCTTTTTCATAGAAATAATGGCTTAGCAATAGCCATGACCCCTATACCGGCTCAAGCAGTTCATCCAACACCCTTGAGTCATCATATTGAATTTTCACTTCTTTGTATAATATTTATAATCTTCTTGAGCTATCTAGGTATAAAAATAATATTAAACTGGCTCTCCAAACGGCGACCACAGCAGTCACAACAGCAAGTCCCACTCCGAATGAACCCTGAAAAACGAGAAGCAAATCAAAACAATGGACCAACACGCCTAATATGTCAAGTTGATAAGGATAAACTTGATTCAATTATAAAAGGACAAAGCCTACCCTGTGTATTAACAGCAGTAGTAGAAGAAGATGTATAAAATCAGCTATTAATTTTTCTTTCTTCTTATTTTCAGTTTTATTTAAAGTTACAATGAAAGAATTTGTATGTGGATATGTTGAATATAAAAACAAAATACCATAATTGGTATATTTTAATAGAAAAGAAAATAGAAAAAGAAATTAGAAGTTAGTTATACTTAACTAAGGGAGAGAAAGGGTTGGAAGAATGTTTACAAAAAACTGAAACTCATATTCTTGCTCTAAATTAAGAAAACATAGTTAGGTGAAAAATATTATTTCCAAAGAAGAAAAATAAAGGAAATAGGTTATGAATATAAATATAAATAAAAAATGTATTATTCTATAGAGAAAGAAAGGGTTGGAAGAATGTTTGCATAAATAAAAAATATTTCTGGTGTAATAAAATAGGATATATAATACATGTATGCAAAAGATTAGTGAGTAATGTTTAAAGATAATAGCCCACTAAAAATATCCACATACAATAAAGTAAAATTTATTTGAATCTCAACAGTATAGTATTAGTATAGGTCCTTAAATTATACTTTTCCTCAAAGTAATCAATTTTTAAAATTGTAACCTTTTTATTTTTTTTTAAAGGGATCATAAGATACCTACTTTTGTTAAAATAAATATAAATGCAGAATCAGGGACATAAATAATTTTTTTTTTTCTTCTTAAAAGACTAAGGATTGAAAATTACAAATGGTGATTAAATTAATCATCTTCATAGTTAAATTGTCTATTATAAATTTAAGTTCAAATAGAAGTAGGGCTTTAGGTTAGTTATAAATGAACATAAATTGGTTCTTATTGTAAAATATTAGAAATGAGTATATTAAAATCCAAACCATTTACTTACCGATTTGTTTTTTTTTTTTGTTTTATGATGACAAAAATACGGGACCAATCCGCAACCACACGCACGAAAAAGCACTACCAACGGACTGATGACCAAATCCAGCTACCAAATTTACAAAATTACTATCCAACAAGGAATAAGATGTTCGAGGTTTCTTGACAGTTACACCACACCACAGGTTACACCAAAATCCTGTTTCTTCAAAAAAGACGCCAAAGGACCAAAGCCAAACTGAAATTAGCCGAGTTTGCAACTCTGTCGGTACACTGGTATGGAATAGAGCAGTATCCCAGAAGTCCATCCAAAAAACTTAGATGGATCACGTCACAAGCATAAAACATTTGATTTAATCTATGCTTCCAAATTCCAAATAATATGAAAGCCAAAAAACCACTAGTTGAATGATTTCTCATTCCTAAAATATTTACAAAAAATTACTTTTGAAGTCTGAAGTACGATGTACTCTTCCTTCCTCTTGTTCCTTTTTCTGGCCTACTCGTTTTAAAGTATCCAGACATTCTATAAATCACACGTTTATAGTTTTAACCCGTAATCCGTAATAGTTATATTACCATATCCTACCAAAATAAACAATCCCAAAGAAGAATAGTCAGAGAGAGACCAAACGCAAGGTATCTGACTGAAACATAAAGATGGATAGGAGTAGACAACAGCCACTTAGCTAGTATAGCTAAACTATATACAAGTACGAGTCCCTGGATGGAAAAAAGAGGACATATGCATCCGCATGTGTAGTGAGGCCGATACCACGTTCGCTGCGCCGCTGAAAAGACAGTGGACAATCTTCTCTAGGCCGTAACCACAGCCTAGTACTTATGCAACCCAGCGTACCGGTCAAATTTTGGCCAAACAGAGTTGGACTTAGCAAAGGTGTACGGTAGCCCAATTAACAAATTAAATTGACAAAAACAAACTAGAAAAGTGCGTGTGTGCGAGAACTTTGTTTAAAAAATTGTAACATGGTTTATGTTTTAAGGATTTACATTGTTTTATTTTATATTTGGTTTTTTATTTATATGTAAAAAATGTTTTCTCTTTCATAGTGGTTTTTCTATATTAAACCGCTACACTTGATAAACTTCAAGTATATTTACTTCTATTTATATAAATTTAATATTATCGTAAATTTTTATTCAACATGTGAATAGGTATTAGGAATATATTTTATAATTTATTAAAAGCCAGGGACTGGCTTTATCAAGCGGGGGGCGTGTCACAAATTCCAATTAATACATTTTTCCAAATTTTATATATTCATATTTAATTCATTTAATTCATTCATAATAGGACAGTTACCTTTATTTCAAGTTCCAGTAATATAATAATTTCGTAACAAAATATTAAACAATTCTCAATTTTTATAAGATATTTCCTTTCATGTTTAACAATAATAAAATTTGCTAATTTTGCTGATTTCACAAAACCGTGGAAACTACAAATCAAACATCATTAGTTGTATTAACTTGATGAATATGCAAAATCAGCAAATGAGTTTAGAAGGTAAATGTTCTAACAAACGGGATTCATTCAGGAAAGTCCTGAGCCACAAGCGACAGCTAAAAAGCTCCATAAAAAAAAAAAAAAATAATAATTAAAATAAATAGTTGAGGTTTTAAAAAAGAATTTGTGGACGTGCCCCTAAAGGATAATGCGGTAAGAAAAGTATTTTTATATAATTATATTTCTTTGTGGGGTAGTTTGTTAAGTATAAGAATAGTTCTGTAAATTCCAGATGCTAGATGTAAATATTGTACAGTTGAATACTCGTTTGAATATTCATTTTTTAATTAATAAAAGTGTTAGTTTTTATCAGTGATTTTAATTTCTTCTTTCCAACAAGCAGAACAGTGGTTAAATTAAATTAATAAATACTCCTCACCAGGTTGTACTTTGGGTCGAACGGACTTTGTCCAATCCTTGGAGAAGTCCGAGCTACCCAGAATATAGCGTGGCGAGCTAGAGCTCGTCGTGGCGTAGTCAGATAAAATCTGAGCTACCCAAACCCCAAAAAAGAATACCCTGACACCCACGACGTGACAGTATTATAAATGTGATGTATCATATACGATACACGATGTAGTTAAGGGTTAAAACGTCTGTTTATTAACAGCCATGTCTGTTTTGATTATGCGGGCAAAAACTTTTACTGAAAGAACACTTACATGCAGCGGATACTCGATAATCGGCAACTCGTTCATGTTATTGTTTCCTTCCCCATTTGGAGCGAATTGTTTTCGCACCGCCGCGTACCTGACGGCAATAGTAACGACGCATATCAAATTATTGGAACACTCTTGCATGATACCCACTCTGCCCATAGACAGATTCTCCAAAGCAGCCCCCAGGATCTTGCCCGGGTCCGTGAAGGAGCTCTCGTACTCGCCTTCCGGCGTTACATCGGCCGTTCTGTTCAAAAGATTATCACTGGGTATTCGGAAGTTCTTGAACATTATAAATCTACAAGAGGAGATAATTGAGTTCGGATTATTGGTATGAACGACTTGCTTACCCGTTGTCTATACCGTTCAAGCCGATTTTTTCACCCATATCGCCTAACAGGATTCCAGGGTACGGTAAAAGCGTGTCGGGGTCTCTAATCGGTACCACGAATGCGTGTAATCCATGGCATTGTCCTTTGGTGTATAACTGCGCGAATAAAAGAGCATGCGTGCATTGCTTACCTTAAAACACAAAAAAACGATGCTATATTACATTCAAGGAATTATTTAGAATGTTAGAAAGATAGTGCCCCACGTTGGACGCCAAATTATGTTAGTGAAGGAACAAAATAATATTTTCTATATAAATGTCTAACGGTATATTTTACCTAAATTTCCTACCCAGCATTTAGCGGCTTCAAAGTCAGGCGTATCGATGACGAATTCTTTGGTATGTGCGTCGTAAGTAGCTGTGGTCCTCATTTGTTTCGTGTTGCTACCGTGCGCCACTTCGGTTAGTGCTAGACACGACAACATCTAAAAGTAACACGAAAAAGCTGACTATTTGTATGTTCTGACATATCTTCTTGTAATATTTCATATTTACTACCTACCTTATTACCTGCATAAGCGTAATGCCGGTGTTTGTCCGTACCTAAAGTGAGTATAGTATTACTAAAGAGTCCTATTCCTAGAGCGTGTTTTATAGAAACGTCCGGAAAAGTAACGGCTAAGGCTTCATTGCAGGCCATCAATAGTCTAGTCTGTAAAAAAGCAAACAAATAAATTTTATATTATATAAATCATCTATAAGTAAGTCTAAAAGAAGTGTCTCAAAACTGAACCTCGAGGAACGCCAGTGCTTGATAGATTTTCCTAGTGCCCTTAAAAATAGTAGTACTCACCCTTTTTCGATATGGCTTTTCTAATTCGGAAGTTACGAATCTATAATCTATATATTTTCTCAACTGTAATGCCGCTATCCTTTTCTTTTCGTCTGTGGAACTTTCGATTACGGGTCTATTAAATAACGGATCTTTTTCTAACGTTTTCCATACCACCAACTGAAAATGTTTAAAAATAAAACATCTTCTATAGAACAATGACGTAAATTGCTGTTTTGCGTATAAAGCATTTATTTTAAATTTTAGTTAGTCCCTGTATATAATTTATAATTGTGTAAATTGTAAATATTATGCATAATAATTATAGTTTTCTTTATATTCTAGATATTTTTGAAATACGGCAACGTCGCAACTTTCGTTCCATTTGCTTCATTTCGCTCCTATTACTCAGTTCTGGACTAAAATTCAATATGGACAGAATAAAATTATCGATTTTATGATTATAATTACGGAAACATTATAGCAGGACTATTTTAAAAAATATGTAGGTAGTTTTTTGAACTGCATCTGTAACTAGTCTAAACTTCTAGCAGATTTAAAGTTCCAATATAATAGTAATAGTAGTACATAGCAGTCTAAAATATATATATTTTTTTATTTAAATCTTTATTACTATTAATTTTTTCTAGTAAATAAAACAGTAAATAATTTTTTCAGATTCTAGTACGTGACCAGTCAAAAGTAAAAATTTCAAATCACGTATGGGTTAATTTTTTAACGCATTATCTTTATCCAGACAACGATAAAAGTAACCACAATGTTTTGAAAGTACTATGAAACCGAAAAAAATTTAAATTTAACAAAATAAAAAATAATAGTTCAGTTTCGGTTCCGGACTACTAAAAAATATTGGTTCAAGTTCTTTTCAGACGCGCCCACAGAACTGAAAGTAGGAGAATGGATTGACAGTTTACAAAAACGTTCCTAGAAGGAGAATAAAATTGAGGTTTTTTTGAAACGCGGTTAGTCGTCACAAAAATTGTTTTTAAATAAATAAAATTAACATTTATTTTTAAATCACTTTCACAAATGACAACTAACATGTCTGACAGATACTCACTGCACAAACTCAAACCTCAATTTTGAATCTCAACGGAACGTAAATTTTGAGCAAGAAATCCATTCTCCTAATTTCAGTTCTGTGGACTGTTGACCCGTTATTGGGACGACACAGGAACAACACAGGCTATACGCACCTTTACTATTGCGGAATACGCATAAACATCAAAACACAAAAAGTGCATAGAAGTTTTTTTAAATCAAATCGCCCGATTTCGGGTAACCAAGACAACCGCGAACAAGTATTGACTTATATTGATTTAAGATTACTAGACTTACGCGTTGTGCTGTGAAATATATTTTAAAAACATTTTTTTATGAAATAATATTCAGATTTATCTTGTTTTGATTTGATTTGAAAAAGCAGTTTTTCCTATGTACTTTAAGGTAAGATTGTTTTTTTTTATTAATAAAAATGATAATAGGTTCGTATCAATCTGACAAAATGTAGGTAGGTACTATGCCGGGGAATATGATGCTTTCTTTTAGTAATAATTATTTTATTAGATGTTAGATATAAACAAAATATTGATATAAATTTATAATAAATGCTAGGTGAAATATTATGGGTTAGTATATTAGTTTGTAATAAATTGATAAATAATTTTACCAATAATTTTGTAAAGTTCGATATTTATTGGTTAATAATGGCGGATTAGTGATAGGTTAGGTACCTATATGAATATCTTGTTATTTTAAACAATTTTTAGATACACGATATATCATGGATCAGGATTGTTTTAAGTAAAATAGTATACAGGGTTTTTCAAAACTCATTTCTCTATATTACTGTGAAAGCTTTTATTTTCAAATAAGAATAACTTTGCTTCTTTGGCATTGCTGTTTTATTGGGATTTAGGTGTTGGATTTAATTTAACGTTCGTATAGCTTTTAGTACCTTATTTGGATCTTCTTCAGTACTTATAATTTTTATTTATTGATATTAAATATTATACTTTTTTGATTAGGACCATACTATTAATACTTTTTTACAATGAATGTGTTGCATTATTATTTTAATATTAGATATTAAATCTAAATGTCTTGAAAAATATTAAGAGTTTGTACATTAGTTTTTCGTAATTTGACAAATAATTTGACTTATACAGGGTGTTCCATTAGTATGTAATTGCACGATATTTCAGTTTGTGTAATAGACATGCAAACAAGTGTCTAATAAAAGTTGCATAAATTTAAAAAAGTAATAATTTAAAAATAATTTGATTTATACAGGGTTTTCCTGGAAAGAAATACATATCAAAGTTGGGTTTTTTAGATATTCAGAAAATATTTTCAATTTTTAAAAATGTATGTGTTAACAAAAATAAAAAATAGTATATAAGGTGAGTTACCGACAACGGTTCGTTTTGTAAAGCAAAAACTATTTGTTTTTTTTTTAATCTGTTTCCACTGTGAGATGTACCTATATTGGAAAAGACAATAGTTTTAAAATAATTTCAAATATACAGGGTTTTCCAGGAAAATAATAAATATCAAAGTTAGGTTTTTTAGAAATTTTGGAAATCTCTTTTGTCCCTTTTTAAAAATGTACGGGTTTAGAAAAAATAAAAATAAATAAAAATAGTATACAGGGTGAGCCACCAATAACGTCTCGGTTTGCAAAGCAAAAACAGTTTGTTTTTTAAATGTTTCCAATGGGACATGTATGTTAAAAAAATTCAAATAGTATACAGGGTGGGTCAACAATAACGTCTCGGTTTGCAAAGCAAAAACAGTTTTTTTTAAATGTTTCCAATTGGACTTGTATGTTAGAAAAGGCAACAATTTAAAAATAATTTCAAATATACAGGGTCTTCCAAGAAAGTAATACATATCAAAATTAGTTTTTTTTAGAAATTTAGAATATTTTTTTTCCTTTTTAAAAATGTACGGGTTTAGAAAAAATAAAAATAGCATACAGGGTGGGCCACCAATAACGTCTCGGTTTGCAAAGCAAAAACAATTTGTTTTTTAAATTTGTTTCCAATGGGACATGTATATTAGAAAAGGCAACAATGTAAAAATAATTTCAAATATACAGGGTTCTCCAGAAAAGTAATACATATCAAAATTAGCTTTTTAGAAATTCAGAAATCTTTTTTAAAAATGTACGAGTTAAAAAAAATAAAAATAGTATACAGGGTGGCCCAATGATAACATCTCAGTTTGCAAAGCAAAAACAGTTGAATTTTTAAATCTGTTTCCAATGGGACATGTATATTAGAAAAGACAACAATTTAAAAATAATCTCAAATATACAGGGTTTTCCAGGAAAGTAATAAATATCAAAGTAAGGTTTTTTTAGATATACTGAAAATCTTTTTTCCCTTTTTAAAAATGTATGAGGTTAAAAAAAATAAAAATAAAAAGTGTACAGGGTGGGCCACCAATAACGTCTCGGTTTGCAAAGCAAAAACAGTTTTTTTTTAAATGTTTCCAATTGGACATGTATGTTAGATAAGGCAACAATTTAAAAATAATTTCTAACATACAGGGTTTTTCAGGAAAGTAATACATGTCGAAATTAGTTTTTTTTAGAAATTTAGAATTTTTTTCCCTTTTTAGAAATGTACGGGTTTGGAAAAAAATAAAAATAAATAAAAATAGTGTACAGGGTGGGCCACCAATAACGTCTCGGTTTGCAAAGCAAAAACAGTTTGTTTTTTAAATATGTTTCCAATAGGACATGTATGATAGAAAAGGCAAAAATTTAAAAATAATTTCAAATATACAGGGTTTTCCAGGAAAATAATAAATATCGAAATTAGTTTTTTTTTTTAGAAATTTAGGAAACCTTTTTCCCTTTTTAGAAATGTACGGGTTTATGTGGCCCACTGATAATGTCTCAGTTTGTAAAGCAAAAACAGTTTTTTTTTAAATATGTTTCCAATTGGACTTGTATGTTAGAAAAGGCAACAATTTAAAAATAATTTGAAATATACAGGGTCTTCCAAGAAAGTAATACATATCAAAATTAGTTGTTTTTTTTTAGAAATTTAGAATATTTTTTTTTCTTTTTAATAATGTACGGGTTTAGAAAAAATAAAAATAGCATACAGAGTGGGCCACCAATAACGTCTCGGTTTGCAAAGCAAAAACAATTTGTTTTTTAAATTTGTTTCCAATGGGACATGTATGATAGAAAAGGCAACAATTTAAAAATAATTTCAAATATACAGGGTTTTCCAGGAAAGTAAAACATATCGAAATTAGTTTTTTTTTAGAAATTTAGTAAACATTTTTCCCTTTTTAGAAATGTACGGGTTTAGAAAAAAATAAAAATGGGACATGTATATTAGAAAAGACAACAATTTAAAAATAATCTCAAATATACAGGGTTCTCCAGAAAAGTAATACATATCAAAATTACCTTTTTAGAAATTCAGAAATCTTTTTTCTTTTTTAAAAATGTACGAGTTAAAAAAAATAAAAATAGTATACAGGGTGGCCCAATGATAACATCTCAGTTTGCAAAGCAAAAACAGTTCTTTTTAAATCTGTTTCCAATGGGACATGTATATTAGAAAAGACAACAATTTAAAAATAATCTCAAATATACAGGGTTTTCCAGGAAAGTAATAAATATCAAAGTTAGGTTTTTTTAGATATACTGAAAATCTTTTTTCCCTTTTTAAAAATGTATGAGGTTAAAAAAAATAAAAATAAAAAGTGTACAGGGTGGGCCACCAATAACGTCTCGGTTTGCAAAGCAAAAACAGTTTTTTTTTAAATGTTTCCAATTGGACATGTATGTTAGATAAGGCAACAATTTAAAAATAATTTCTAACATACAGGGTTTTTCAGGAAAGTAATACATGTCGAAATTAGTTTTTTTAGAAATTTAGAATTTTTTTTCCCTTTTTAGAAATGTACGGGTTTGGAAAAAAATAAAAATAGTATACAGGGTGGGCCAACAATAACGTCTCTGGGCAAAGCAAAAACAGTTTTTTTTAAATGTTTCCAATTGGACATGTATGTTAAAAAAGGCAACATTTTAAAAATAATTTCAAATATACAGGGTCTTCCAGGACATATACATACCAAAATTAGTCTTTTTTTTTAGAAATTTAGAAAATTTCCTTTTTTTCCTTTTTAAAAATGTACGAGTTTATAAAAAAATTCAAATAGTATACACGGTGGGCCAATAGTAACGTCTCGGTTAGTAAAGCAAAAACAATTTGTTTTTTAAATCTGTCTCAAATGGGACATGTATACCAGAAAAGACAACAATTTTTAAATAATTCCAATTATACAGGGGTTTCTAGGAAAGTAAAACATCAAAATTATTTTTTTTTTAGAAATTCAAAAAATCCTTTTGTTTTTTAAAAATGTAAAAGTTAAAAAAATAGTATACAGGGTGGGCCACTGGTAACGTCTTGGTTTGTAAAGCAAAAATTGTTTTTTAAATGTCTTTTTAATGGGACATGTACATTATAAAAGGCAACAATTTGAAAAGAATTGCAATTATACAGGGTTTTCCAGCAAAATAATACATAACAAAGCTGGTTTTTTTAGATATTCAGAATATTTTTCCCTTTTTAAACATTATGGGTTAAAAAATAGTATACAGGGAAGACCACCGGTAACGCTTTGGTTTGAAAAGCGAAACAATTTGAATACTTAAATTTTTTCCTCTGTGAGATTGGAAAAAACAACAATTGAATATTAATTTCAAGTTGCAATTATATTTAACCCCAATATGAGGGTGATTGTAACTAACTGAATTATGGATCAATTAATTAAACACAATATGTTGATTCTACAACCATTTAATTTTAACTGGCGGTACAAAATATAAAAATATCTCTAGTAAATAAGAAACTAGATTTATAGGATGATACAAGTTAAATGAAGCAATATGAAATAATTATATGGGATACAATTTCACAAATATACAGGGTTTTCCAGGAAAATAATATATATCGAAGTTAGTTTTATTTAAATATTCAGAAAATCTTCTTTTCCATTTTTAAAAATGCACGGGTTAAAAAAAATAAAAATATGTAGAGGTCACCTTAGTTTTTTTGAATTTACCGAAACTTTTAAATTTGCAACGTCCACACTAATATTTGACACTTCCCTAGACTTGTCACTTGTCATTATTATTTCAAATTGTCGATGTTAAACATTACACTGATATTTGACACTTTCCTGGACTTCACTTTAATTATTATTATATTAAATTTTCGTTGGTTAAATATTAAACGTTTTATCATTTTTTTAAAGGAGAGTTATATTTGATTTAAAAAAATATTTGTCGATTTAAAGAAACAATTACTACAAATAAAAATAGTATACAGGGTGAGCCACCGGTAACGTCTCGGTTTTTTAAAAATATAAATTTCCATTTGTCAACTTTTTCAGACATACTGTAAATTTTTCATACCTAGCTGTAATTTGTTTTAGAGATAACAACGTAATTCTTATAATTTATGAAAATAATTCATTAAAGGGATATATTTGCATTTTTCTACCCATTTTATATTTTTGAAAACCTTTTAATAAAGCAAAAATCCCTTTAGACATTTTAAAAATTTTCTATTAATTGCTATTTTTCTTTTCAGCGAACTTCCGTAAGAACAAATTTAAATCGCCGCAAATGTTTACGAAAGTGAATCGGTAGCACGATATCAATGGTTTGAGCTCATATTCAATTCACCTCTGACAATAAAGACATTTCATCTTAGAATGTATGTCCTCTGATATTATTGTAAAACTTTGATTTACATTATAGTGTCTCGAGATGTACCTTTTAGGATCAAATGGACAAGGCTGCAGAAATATCACCCGAAGATATATTTGAATATTAGAGGGTTGATATAGAATTGAACATGATACGATGATCATTTATGTCGTCGGGAGTAGAAGATATTTCCGGACGCGTTCAATCGGGAAAATCTATTGGACATAATGGATATTATGGAGAAGCAGAAAGAAATATTTGGAAATGGGATAGAGTGGAATGAGTGGCTTCAAATGGTGAGTGCTTAATGTTTTCTGTAAACAAATTATTACACCATACAATAATAATATTAATAACAATAATGATGTCTTTATTATTTCTAATTAGATAAAAATAAATATAATTAAAAACAAAATATAAACATTTTAAAAATAAAGGACGAAGTTTATTTCTGATCAAAAATATTCCTTCATTAACCCTTGATCTTTTTCCGAATGTATGATTAATTTTAATATTTATGTTATGTTATTTCAGGAGGAATGAGAGGCTTCAAATGGTAAGTTTTTAGATATAAATCTAAATTTTTCTGTAAACAAATTATTATTTTTTCAGAATTTTTAATTAGTTTTTATTTCTATTGAAATTTATTTTATGTTGTTTTAACATTAAGAATAATTATTAATAAATATTTTTATTGAAATAGGAATCCTAATAACAATAATAACGTCTAGTAGAAAATATTAATGTATTAAAAATATAAAAAAACTGCATTAAAAAATTAAAAACGCTTCCATATACATTTAAATTATTAAACTAAAACATCTTTTAACAAATATAATGAAATGGAAAAAATATAAAACAAGGAGAAAAAAACACTAGTACATCACCGCTTTTGTTAAATCAACAAATTCATATCTAGTCATTTGGAAAATGCCCTTGGTCAATGACTAGTATCTGTGAGTTGATGAAAAAAGTACTTTAATATTAAATGCAGGTGAGTTTGTTATAAAACTTTATTTTAAAATATACAAATATTTTTTTTTTTATTTTTGAAACTCTCAAAAACAAATCTTTGTTATATAGGATTTAATTATTTTTTTAACTACTAATTTTTATTTGTCAATGGTTGACAACCTGTTTAATACACAGAGTAATATAAATAAATTATCTAAGAAATAACAGTCACTCTATGTATATTTATCGACTTCCCAAGGCATCTGACACTGTCACGAAACTTTATTGAATAAGCTATATTATTATGGTCTGAGAAAAAAAATATTTGAATTTATTAAGACATTTGGAAAATCAACTTTGCTGTGTTTAGTTAGAAGACACAAAGAGCACATTCATGGAAAATCAAATACGGAGTACCTCTAGATACTCTATTAGGCCTCTTTCTATTTTCCTTGTATATAAACGGTTTGTTGAAACATAATTTAAAAAGATTAAGATTATTATAGGTTTTTTTTGTAAGTAATCTTTCAAGATATTTTTGTTTTTTAAGATGACATAACACTTCACAATTTAGTATAAAAAATATATTTAAGCGATGATGGATTTGTTTAAAATTATTATCAAAATTTTAAAGGTTATCTTTTTGTTTTAAATATGTTGCAAGGAAAATTACAAAACTTTAAAAACCATATTTTTAAAATAATTTGTTTTATATTTGAGGTGACAGAATTTAGACAATTTTTATGTTAATATTTGTATTTGGTAAAATCACCCTCTCTACGCCACTGCTATAAATACGACTGTAGTTGAGTACCGAAATAATAGACACCAATTGCCCACTGAAAAAAAACCCTTGTCCAGAAACCTCCGAAAATTTCTCCAAACTTTTGCACAATCACATATGAAAGCAGTAGCGGCTCGTGGGGTGGTTCACAGTGACAGAATATAGGTATCAGTACAGATGTATAAAAAAACTTTCCGTGAAAGTTTATAATATACCTTTCTAAAACACTGACAGTTTTTTTACCGGGATCTATATTCTGCTACTGTGAACCCCCAAAATTTTGGTCACAAGCCGTCCCTGTATAAAAGCATTCTTCACACATTAAATTACTGTCTATTATAACGATATTCAATTGCAGGATCTCTTTACTACTTACTTTCATAGTTAAAAGGTCTTCATCTTCGAAAAACAATTTTAATTTCCTCCAATCAAACCTAGATTGGTTCCTATAGCGAGTTAAAGGTCCCATAGGTAGTTCTTTGAACACTAACTTATTATCTTGAAGATCCATTTTCTAAATTAAATTTCTGAAACAAAAAAAAAATTGTTGTTATTTATTCACTAATGTTTCTAATTTTAAACAGATTATCGACTCATTTTTTTTATTGTGGACAGTTTAATTTAAAAAGAATGAACATCTATTGTAAAATATAACTATTTCATAGTAGAGGAGCTAAAATTGTTATAAATACATTAATAACTACAACATTTTGGTCTTTTTTATTTTAACAAATATTAAATTGAAAAACTATTATAAATTATTTTTATAATTAAAAATTAAGAAGGTACAATTGTTTTAACCATAACTAAATATGAAATAAAAACGAAATTGAAATTTGTTGTTATAAGCCCATTTAGTTTATAAGTAGGTAATGCTTTCCTTTATATAAATTGGAGTCTAGTTATTTGTTGATCTAAGAAGGAAAAGTAATGTCAATTGTTAGAAGTGTCAAACAAGACGAAGTGCTTGTCTTTTCGATACACATTTTTGTATTTTGTGTTTATAAAAGTTAGTAAAACCTATATAAGCAATCATTTGCGTTTGTATATTATATTAGAAGATAACTACAAGAAAATTAATAAAATACCAACTGCACAATGTGTAGCGTTACTGAGCGAGTCAAAATACATTTATATAATATAATTTACAATGTATATTATTAATATATCACCCATTATAAAAATACTTAACCATTTTTCTAAATAACCTATTAAAACTTTAATTACGAACATTTTGAAACACCTATAAGGTTGAATTTTAAAAAAGCTTACAATCGCGATATACAGGATGTCCCATAGGTACCATTAAGAATGAGACATTATATTAAATTTGAAACAAGTTGAACATTACTTGTCCTTGTCCACCGCCACCTTTTCAAATCTATTGTGGGATTCCGTTTATTAGAGTCGCTCTAGCTTAGTCTTTTTTATTAGTTTAGTAACTTTGACAGTTGCTCCTGCATGTTTGGCGTCTGGCTTTTCTTCGCCTAATGTTAGAAACCTCAATCTAGCTAGGCCTTCACACTGGCACAAAACCGGCACAAAGTTGCCACATTTAGGCAACAATGTCCGGTAAGAAGACCTGCTATTATCCTAACGATTTGACGTTTTTGATCCAGTAAGTCTTTCGTGAACTTGGCTGATGGTTCCTTGACAAATTGTTTGGCATGTCTCAATCTTCGATAGTTGTTTCGCCATTCCTAAGACTATTTTTGTACCCATTGTTTGGTGGTTGCCTTGCACAATCTTTTAGCAACTCCACAGAAGGGTTAGGAGCATGGGCGTCGTTATACAATTCTATAGGGAGGGCCAAAATTTTGAAAAAATGTAGAATGTTTATTTATTAGAAAACAAAGAAAATGAAAAATAAAAGAGAATTTTCTTATGATGAATTTAATTATTCTTTGACGTCATGGCTTACTTCCGGTTTTTCCAGAAATAACAGAAAGGCTAAAGACACACACGGCTGCTTCCGCCGAGTCGGCCGCCGACTCGGCTGGCCGCCTCTGCCAAAACACACGAAGCGGTTCACAAAAGTAATGCATTTGAGTCGAACGACGTCTTACCAGTCGTGATTTGGTTTCTGGTGAGAGACTTTTAGAGCTGTTTTAGTTTTGCCTGATACTTGCCGATTTATTATTTCTCTTGCACAATGTCGGATTGGGCAGTCGGTCTACCGGTCCAAAGAAGCCCGAGCAGTGGGCCCTCGAGAAGAAGGAAGAATCAATTGTGAATAAAAAATTTTCTCAAATCAAACGCATACCAAATTGTGTCTGATATAGCAATAACGAAGGCGATAGCTTAGAAAACGAATTTTTGAGGCACATATCAATGAAGAATCCTGTTTTATAATTTGTTGTTTTAAGTAATTACACAGGAAGATTTTTTTTCTTAGTGTTAAAGCTGATTTATTGATGTTATGAGAGAAACTCTATTTTTCTCGCCTAGCTCATTCAATTGTTCTAGGCATCTCCAGACCAAGTTTTCCCACATATTTTTCTACAGCAGCCATACTCAACCTGTGGCCCTCCAAGCTGTTTTGTGCGGCCCTCCAATCTTTTTTATGCACCAAACACTATTATTAGGAATGACCTTTTTTTTAAACAAATTGTCCCGAAGCTTATTAAAACAACAGGAGGACCTTTTTTTAGAAAATATTTAAAGAGGATCCCTATCGTCACCCATTGTGCTTTATTTACATTTCAAACAGATTTTTGTGGCCCGAAAGAACAAAAGGTTGAGTACAGCTAGTGTAGCTTTATATGCGAGTTTTTTGAGATGTTGATTTCACGTCAGCCTTTGGTCAAATCTGACTCCTAGGTATTTGGCTTCTGTGACAAATTGAATAACCATGTTATTTAGTACTAGTTGTCTTAGTCCTGTAAGTACCTGGTTTTTGTGAATGGTACAACTGTTTTTTTTGCGTTAAAGGACAATTGTTCCTTTTTGCACCAGTTTAGAGCTGTTTGAGATCACTCAGAGACTGTGCCTGCCAATCGCCCCCTGACAATAATTACTAGATCGTCTGCAAATTTTAGGCACTGATAGCTTTCTTTGGACAATGTTTTGAGTAGGTCTTCCACTAGAACTGACAGCTTTGGAGATAGTATTCCTCCTTGTGGGTAGCCCCGTGTAACTTTTGCATGTATAGTTGCCTTACTTAGAGTGAATAAAATAATCTTATTCTCTAGGCTGACACATTTGACTGGAACGTTCTTCTGTTACAGAAGATCCTTCCTTACTGACCTGGTTAAGGCATTATTGAAAGTTCCTTCGATATTTAAGAAAGTGGCTATTGCGATTTATACTATTGATTTTGAAAGCAGCCTATGTAGATCGTTCACCGCTAGGTCAGTTGACTTTCCTGGTTGGTATACGTATTAGTTGAGATGTAGCAGATTTATTTTACCTGTCTTTCTAGTAAGGAGGATAGGCTTATACGGCGATATGATTTTGGTGCTTGGTCTGTGACCCTACCTACTTCTGCAAGATAGACTACGTTCGCCTTTTGTCATATTGCTGGGATATATCTCCAGGCAATGCAGGCTCTTAAGATTTTTTTTAAATTAAACATATTTCATCAGGCTCCAGGGATTTGTATGGCTTTAAATTTGTTGATGGTCCAGTCAATTCAAGTTGGTGTGATCTCCCTTTGCACTGCAAATGAGATAGCACAGCTGAAGATTCTTTGATTATAAATGAAACGATTAAACAAAACATGCTTAAATAAAATGTTGCAACAATAACTGTGTTCGTATTTTAAAGCCAGTCACCCAACTAAAGAATGTCCTTGTCAAATTTTAATCAGAAATGATAATTTTATAAACAGACCATAATCATTTAAACATTAAATCAAATTGGTCACTTTAATATTATGGGTTATAGCCGGATGGTAAGCAGATATATACACTATACACACCCACGGCAGAAATGTTTCATAGAAATTTCAAATCATCAAGTGCAATTATAATACAGATGCGTGTAATCTACGTTGTGCTCCACTTTGAATTTTTATGGATGTACTTAAATAATTTTTAAACATTTTGTTGCCGGGAATAGCCAAAAAGCGCATTAAATCCTCTCATTTCCGCCAACTAAATTTTGTATTACGATTTTATTTAACTTCTGCTAACGGTCATCAGGATTTGAGAAAACATTTTTTTCCTACGAAAAAATGTAAATGACGGAACTATAATTAATACAACCCCTAAGAAAAATAAAAAATTGGTAAAAGGTGGTCTTGTTTATCTAAAAGTTTTCCCAAATATTTGGTCTGGATCCGCCCCTGCTTTCTGTTCTATATTTGAATTTAAGAGCACCTACTTTATCAACTTTAATCTTCGGCATACATTATTATTAATTTTCTTTTTCCCTGTACACCCCTAAATCTGATTATTAATTATTGGTTTCTATAGTCTATTTTTATGTATGAGATGAGAGTATTAAAATAATAAAGCGTTCGTAATCCATAGGCGTACCACTTCTTTTAGCAGACAATTAAAATATTTTTGAACTTATTCCTCGAGTATACACTTATATTTTCATCTAATTAACCTGCTTATAACTTCTAAACAGATGAAGGTAAAAAGTGCAATTTTTTCTAAAATGTTTTATTTTTCCACAAGGTATGTTAAGAACATTGTGTCAAACGGGTTATGTAGGTATAAGGGTTTAAACTTTGACTTTTAAACAACGTTACGTTCATAAAAAATAATTTTAATATAAAAACTACTTCGTACCTACAAATCCAAATCAGAATCGAAATCAGAAGATGAACTGTCGCAACCAATATTTACAAGGAGTGGCTCGATCATTTCATCAGTAATATTGTCCAACTTCCACATTTTCTCTTCTTTAATCGTATGATTTACTGCCTTTTCCCAGTTTTCAGGCTTCACATTATTTACAGCCTCCAAAAACAACTGTTTAACATCACTCATTTTAAAAGAATTATTTTTTCTTGAAACTTCTCCCTTTATCTGTGCCCATATCAGTTCAATCGGGTTTACTTCGCAATGATATGGTGGTGATCTAACCACCGTCATCCCACGATTTTTTGCAATTTCATATTTTTTTAATTTCTCTTTATAAAGGGAACACAAATGATACAGTTCTTTTCTCACAGAACCGGGATGGAACTTAATATTCTTTGAATTTAGCCAATTCTGTAAATCTTTTTTTAACCACTTGGCTGTGGGCATTTTTTCTATAAGTCTCGAGTGATAACTTGCATTATCCATTACTATTATACAGTTCTAAGGAAGAAGATCTATAATTTGTTCGAACCACTCTTTAAAGACATCAGCATTCATGTCCTCACGAATAGATTCAAAAGTCAATAAACCACCTTTAACAAAACCGTTTAAACTACCGATGTGTACTATTATTAGTCTGCGCCCTTTTCCTGATGGTGGATTTAAACCAGTAGATAAATTATTTAAAAAAGCCTGTCTTCGACTTGTAACAGTTTCATCTTGCCAAAATTTATTTGGTTTATGTCCCTCGTTGATCCATGTTTCATCTAAAT